CCGTAGTCTGGCTTCCATTCGGGAGAAGTTAGCTTTTGGGACAGTCCTTCATACTCTCCGGCCCTGATTTGGGGAACAGTTTGTCTGTACTCTTGTTTAGCGGCAAATCCGTACAGAAATACCGGAACTTTGAGTTCGAGAGATAGCTTTTGAGCAAATTTGTGGGAACATTGGACGCAGTCATCCATGTCTACCCCCTGTACCGGAATGAACGGACAGACATCGAGAGCTCCCAGTCGCGGGTGTTCTCCCTTCTGTTTACTCATATCAATGAGTTTGTATGCAATTCTGGCCCCATTTAAAGCCCCTTCAACTACAGCATCGGGAGAGCCCACAAATGTATACACAGTACGATTAGTGGACTGACCAGGGTCAATGTCCAACAGTGATACACCTTCTGTAGAACGGATGGCATTCGCAATGGCATTGATTATCTGTTTCCAATTGACAACAAATTAAGTTAAAAGTTGACTTTTGATTTAAAGTTAGATAACAAATATACAGTACAATATTATTTAATGAATTTATTTAAAAGTCTTATTTAATGTGATTTATAAATATGACATTTTATTACTCAAAAAATTGCTGGAAAGCTACATTTTTCTCTAAATTCAACCTAATGTCAAGGTTTGCAATTGAAACCTTGAATTTTAGATCTTTTGATAAATTAAAACAAATCAATAAATATTACAAATTCAAAAAGCGTTTCTTTAGATTAAATTATAAAAATTTTCAAAAATCGACCAAATTATTATTATTATTATTATTATTATTATTATTATTATTATTATATAAATATAATTAAAATCAATTCATAATTATATGCTACTTATTAACTTATTACCGTAATATAGTATTGAATAATTGTTATTACTGTAATTATAAAATATGCAAATTTCAATTTCAAATATAAATAAATATACAATATACATAATAAATAATATAGATGAAAATACTTAAATTCTTTATTAAATTATGTTAACGAGAAAATAAAATGTCCAAAATTGAATTTACTTTAAGAATAATTTAAAACAATAATAATTAAAAGGTGAAATATTTCATATAACAAACCTCAGGGTCTCTTCCTTCTGAAAAATTGGGCACACATTCAATGATCTGAGTCTTCATTATATTTATTCTTATTGTATAAACGTTTCTTAAATTAATATTTAAATTCTTTAATACTTACAAAAATCTTATCAAAAACAAAAGTAATACTCAATGAGTTTCAAGACTTGACTTACTTTGTATGTTTCAAAAGCAAAACTTATGTGACAACTGAAGAAGCCTTCAACAAAACATTTTATTTTATAGACACTATTTTTACGCAATTCTTGGGTTCTCCCCCTATCTCTGACTCTCATTTTATATGTAGTATACAGTAGTGAAGTACAACTCATTTATACAATTTAGTATTTAAATTAATTTTAAGTTATATTTGTAAGTTATCTTATAAGTTAGACAATTTGACCTTTGAATTAAAATTATAATACAGTTATTACTCTAATAAACAATTCTCCTCATTATATCATATATAAAACTAAGATACTAAATAAATAAATAAATAAATTTATATACCTAAAATAAGTTTAAAATGCATTATGATTACTCAAAAAGTATTTGATCTAGCAAAACTAGTAACTTAATCTAATTTCCACAAAAAAACATTTGCATAGAATTTACAGGTTTTCATGAATACATAAAAATTAGTGAAATAAAATATTTAAAAAATTGGTATAATAATTTTATTTGTTATAAAAATTTAATGAAATATATAAGTATCTGATAATTGAAAGTGTTGTAATGATAAAATGTGATAACATTTCTAGAATATATCGCATAACCAGAATAATAGAGTAAATGAATATTTTATTTAAAATTTTGAAACTTTGAGAAAGTGATCAAATGTTAGACCAATAACTTCTTGGATTCAATTCGTTTGGATTTTCTGACGATGAAAGGAATGACATCTCCTTGATTTTCGCCGTCATTCAAGTCAT